AATGCCACTGTCCCAAGGCATGTGACCTGGGGAAAATGTCTTCCTCTACTGGGTGGAACTAATAACAGATGCTGACTACTTCATAAGTTTGCTGTGAAGAGTTAGTAGAATAAAGTATGTCACACACTCAGCACAGAGGCTGGTAGTGACCAAGGCTCCGTTAAATGTTGGCAGCTCTGAGCTGTGCTGGTGTTGCTTATAATGCTCCAGGTGTAGCAGTTGGTCAGTCCTTGTCCCACCCTCAGATCACTTAGACAAGGGGTTCTAAGGGGCTTCACAGGTGAGTTTCAGGTGCTGATGATGGGCAACTTTGGCATAATAGTTTTGGAACTATGTGGAATATTGTAGGAATGTTTGCTGTTTTTGTGGCTTAAAGATTCATAGTTTCATCATATTCTCAAAGGGTTAAATACAGTAACGTAGGCTCTTCACAGCGTAGCTTCCCTTGACCATCACCAGTACGACCTTGAACATTAATGAGTTGTGACTGGTGGTAGTGATTTTGTACCCCACATAGTTGTGAAGAGATATTTAGAAGACAAATAACTACATTAAAGTAGTTTCTAAAAGGAACCTGGGTTTATGCTGCAGTTGTTTGCCTGAATATTGGACTCTATATAAAAAGATAAAAGGGATAGGGAATAAATATTGCAGGCTGTTTAACCCACTAACAATCCTGGCATAGATTCTTGCCTTAACTTAGTTGCCATGGATGCTTTTCTGGAAGGTTGTCTATTTCCCTATCCAACAGTTACTTTTTACAACTGAATTTTCTTAGGGTGGTACAGTTTTGAACACAATTCTTAAGGACCTCTTTAAAGAAGTGGGAGCTGTCAAAGAGAAGGGGAAAGTCTAACGGACATGTTTCTATTTGGATTTTTTCATTTATATCTGCTCTTACTTAAAGTCCCTCACCCTGATTCTGGAAGGACCTAGGTCATCTCCAACTTATCCTTTTTTAAGTTTCAGCTCCCCTGTAGCGATCTTATTCATTGGCATATTTAAGTGATAATTTTTTCACACAAGAGGTATTAAAATGTATTTTTTAATGATGTAGGGCATTTTAAAGAAGGGTGTGTGCCTGCAGAAAGGTGGCTACAAATCATTCCCACACTTGTCCCGTAAGGAACATCCTTACCCTTGAAATAAGGAGTGAAATCTGTGGCTGTGTTTTTCCCTCTGTAATTTAATTAAAGGAGACTAGAGGGTTAGCTAATTTCATCACCATTAGTATCTATAGACTGCATTTTTTTCAGAGCTGCTTTGGATTGCACATTTAGCTATGTGCCAGGCACTATGCTATGCACTTTGCATAAGTGATCTCATTCAGTTTTTACAACACTATGAGCTACAGAGACAGAAACAAAGTCCTAAAAGAGGTCACACAGACAGATGGGTGGAGTAGAATTTATACCTGGGTCTTCCTTGAACTCACAATCCTCACTCTTGGTCACTGTGTGTGATGCCAGTGGCCTCTAAAACCGTTTTAAAGCCACTGTTTAGCTGAGATGGTGTCTGTAAGGATTTTGGACTGGATGGTTTCTGAAGGATCGCCCAGCTCTGTTCTGTGATTCTTAGTGGACTACATTTAAAGAGCACAGCCATTTACTTGAAATGAATTTTGATGGGCTTTATCCTGTTGTAATGCTTAACAGTCGCAATTTGGTGGTTCCTATGCAGTTTATGGAGATTGTGCTCACCACTCCACAGAGGGGCATTATAGGGGACACAAAGTTCTAGAAGACACAGTCCTTGTACTTAAGGAACTTAGGTGTAGTGGGACCAAGAAGGCGCATACCCAACCCCAGCAATGGGTATAATGTGATGTAGAAAAGACTGTGAGGTCCTAAGGCTGGAGGAACATAGGCATTTGCAAGAAGAAAATCCTCCCATCATAAAAGGAATCCAGGTATAGGCAAGTTGGATAAGGTAGCAATTAGACCCTGGCTTTAGTAGGTTTGACGGAAAAGTTCCCCTTCTTGCTTGGGAACCAGTCAACTTCAACAGACAGGCGTTGGTGCACTTTTATAGGGACCTGCCTGGCATGCATTCAAGATCAGAAGGGAGGGCCATGTTTTAGGAAGGCTCCCATTTTTTCCTCTAAAGCCAGGCAGCACCTAAAACTTCTAATCCCATTCTACCCCCAGTACCCCCATGTTACAGAGTTTTGACTGAACAGGAAAAACTACTTGGCTAGGCTCAGGTGTGTGAAATGATACAGGGTGTCAGCAGTCAGAACAGGGCCCCAACTTTTGTTGGAATTGCCTTTATACACGTATCTAAGAAGAGGGAGAATTAATTTTTAAATCCTACACCCAGTTAACTTCATCCTTTGCTGTACAAGTAGAGAAAGAGAGTTTCCCCTGCATTTCCTGTGAGTTCTGCTTGGAAAAATAGCTGTGAGATTTGTGCTTCTGTACTGCAGTCAGATCCATGTCATCAGGCAGCTTCTCTCTAACAATAAAAATAACATTGACAGTAAATCACTAATCAGCTTAGCAGGTGCTAGTTTCCGTGCTAAGCCCTTCCTTTCCTTGGGTTTTCTAAGACCTGGGACTTGATGTAGGCTTAGAACTCATGTTCTTAACCTCTGTGCCCCTCTGTGCCCATGTGGTTCTCGGGCCTGAGGTTCTGACTCTTGGCTGAACAGAAGAACCACCCATGGCGCTCAACAGGCAGACCCAAGATGCTGGGTCTTGAGTCCAGACCTACTGAATTGAGTCCCTACTGAGACATTTCCTGATGGGGGATCTGAATTTGTGTTAAGCAACCCAAGAGATGCTTGACTCGGCCATGGTTGAGAACTGCTTGTTTTGATGCCCGTTGCCAGAGCTTTCTACCTCCATGATGGACTGATATGTTCTCTACCTTCCATGGCTCATGGTGGTCCCACTCGCATGGCATTTGCTTGGTCCTTCTACCCCCAAGTGACGTCTTCCCTTCTCCTGTTGGTCCCACTGCTTTTCCACACTTACTTTAAACTGCCTGGGACTGGTCTGCTTTCTTTCATGTCGGCGGGTGTCTATCTTTCCAACCAAATAGAAAACTTCTGGAAGGCAGCAACAATCATTTTCCTTTCCTCCCAATCAATGGTCTCCACTCTTTCTATGTCTGTTCGTCTCTTTCTCTCCCTCCCTCTCTTTTTCTCTTTTCCCTCTCCATGCCAGCACACAGTGGGAACCTATTTGTTGGTTACTTCTCAGGTTGTCCTAAACAGAAATGTTCCCCTAAAGGAAACCCCAGTACACGTGGGCAAGGTGCGGCCCTGGCACCTCCTTTCCCCTGCTGGCTCCGCCTCGCCCAGACATTCAAGGCTGCTGGCTCTAAGGAGGTGTTTCTGGTTTCCAAAACTCCCTCTCCTTTGGTGGCTTTTAGCTTAATTGCTTTGATTGCAAAATGGTAACTCACAACACAAGGCTCCCGTGAGCAACTAGCTGGCCTTTTTCTCTGAAGGAGTCCAGTTGTTATAAGAATCGGTAAACCAGGCTGTCGGAAGTATTGACTTTTTTTCCTGTAGTTTTTTCTGGAGCATCCAGGATGGCCATATTTTTCTTTCCAAACATACCCATGAAAAAGTTAGAAGCGCTTTTTAAAGGTGCCTTTCCCATAATTAACTGTAGCAAGAAATGCTCTTATATCCTTCCTCGCCCACTTAAAGAAAAAAAAAAATGACAAGAAGAAAAACCGTAAAGAAACTAACTGCTCAGTGGTCCCTGAACTCAAGAGGCGCTAGTGGGCAGCACTAGACGCTTCCTTCTTTTCATTTAATGCAGTTCCTTTTCCTTGATGTTAATGCAAGTTGTGCCTTCCTAAAAGTAATAAAAGGAAATGAAGACACGTTCTGAAATGAAACTTGACTCTAATCCATTCATCATCTAATACTAGCCTCTTTATCTACGCTGGTACCTAATCTGGTTAAATGTCCCTGTTGTAGGATTTTAGTGAAAATCCTCTATTGGGAATAGGGTTTTTTGCAATTGGATTACTCTCAGTAAATGGCCCAGTAGTTCGCTTGTTTCAGCTTAATTTTTTCTTTGTGATCTTTCTGGGCTAAGTTATAGCACAGCATAGTCGGGGGGAGGGGGCTGAGAGTGGGGCAGGGGAAAGAGAAAAGAATAATTTGGGAAAGCCTAGGCCATGGCAAATAGAAACGCACTTAAAATGCTTTACCCCCTGCTTCTCTCCACGGATCCACCCTTCCTAAACACAAAAGTGCCTGTACTTTGTTTTCTAGAACTGCCCATTTCTAAAATGCATACCTTTTATTAGCCCAATTCATCATCATCCAGTTAGTTTATTAGTGTTCCCTGATGACTTCCTAATGAATCGGGGCTGCTGTAATCTGCATAAAATATGCAGGTGCTTGCCAGACAATTTGGAGCTTTCTGGTAAAGTTCACACTCCCACCTCAGCCACGAGTGGGACTTTTTATCTGTGCTGTCTGTAAAAGATTGTGGCATGCCTGCTGTGTCTAAGGGCAGGGAGGGCTTAGGAGCCTCTGGGGGTGGTGGATAAGGAGGCTGAGTGAGGGGGATTTGGGTCCTGCAGAGTTTCTTGTAAATGAAGGTTCTCTTAGCTATTCCCCCGTGCAGCCTGCCTGCGTGCCTGCCTCCTAGAGGTCCCTCCCGTGGGGCCCTGGGGTAGGAGATCCTCCCCACATGCAGGAACGCAGTAGGCCTGGGAGATTAAAGTCCCCACTTCCGACTCACCTGCCGGTGGGAAAAGTGCAAACTCTTGGGCTCCACGGTGGGGGATGATGGCGAAGGTGTTTTAAAAGCCAGGCTCAGTGGGGAGGTGAAAACTGGAGCAGACCAACCCAGAGAGCTGTCGTACAACTATGTTATTTTTAAACGATGGGGACGGGGGCGGTGGAATTGAATGCATCTTACAAAATCAAGGTGGGAGGGGGTTGTCAGGGGAGCGCAAGGGCCGTGCTCTGAAGTCTTGGGCCACTGGAGGTGGCTTGATGGTGTCTCTCTCTGTTCTCCTCCTCCTCACAGTCGAACAAAGTGCCAGTGGTGCAGCACCCTCACCATGTCCACCCCCTCACGCCTCTTATCACCTACAGCAACGAACACTTCACCCCGGGAAACCCACCTCCACACTTACCAGCCGACGTAGACCCCAAAACAGGTAGGCCGTGGGCTGGGCGCCAAGGCAGAGCGCTGGTCCTGGGGCCCCCGAGGCCCTGTCGAGGCCTCCGTGGGAAGCCCAGGGACGGGGTGTGGTGGGAACGGTAGTGGAGGGGCTCCTGTTCCTCTTCTGGGTGTTGAAAGGGAAGCTCTTCGGGGAAGCCCAGCCTCGTGAGGGAGTGATTTTCCTCTCCCTTTTGGAGAAGTCTATTTGTAGTGCTAAAGATCTCTTTAGAGCTCCTGGGACCCCTGAAGGGGCTGTCATGGGAACCTGGCTATGAGTACCTCAGTATTTTTCAGGAGTGGCTTATTTATAACTCCAAGAGCCTCAAACAGACTTGGAAGCAATAATCGTATTGGAAGCTCTCATGGGCTCCTTCTTGGCTTCCTGGGAGGATAAGAGAACTAACAGCATGGCTCCCATAAGCCCTGATTGGTTCCCTTGGTGGCTAAGGGACTCCAGTGACTTGACATTGGCTTGTTGGTGCTGCCTCAAGACCGCATCACTGGGTTTCAAATTATCTTTGCTGATTTATTTGGGTTCTTCTCTCCTACAATAGCCTGGGTATTGTCAAGTCCATTTTACAGATGTGAATACAGAAGCCCAGATAGGTGTCCCCATTTCGTCATGGAACAACCAGTAGGGTTCTCAGGCAGAAGGCGCCACATTATCCTTCAGCGTTTATACTGTCTTCTCTCTCTGTCCCACTTGTTCATTGACTGCTTTTTTTCCCAAAGGGGAGAGGGAGAGAAGGCAGGGTTCCTTGTGGCCCCACCTCCAACAAGATCTAAAACAGACAGGCCGCCACAGCTCATGGTGGGGTGGTCTTGGGAGAACAGCTACGGCGAGGGTGTGGCTTTCAGGCTGGGCGGTGTGCTGGCTAGGAGTCCCTCTCTCCAGCTAGGCCCTGAACTCAAGAGGCGCTAGTGGGCAGCACTAGACGCTTCCTTCTTTTCATTTAATGCAGTTCCTTTTCCTTGATGTTAATGCAAGTTGTGCCTTCCTAAAAGTAATAAAAGGAAATGAAGACACGTTCTGAAATGAAACTTGTATGAAACTTGTAATGGAAGGATAGGTTGCAAATGGCTGCTCCATGTCTCTCTCTGGCAGAGAGAGTTGGTGTCCGGCCGAGGGAAGCTACCTGGTTCAGTGGCCTTCGCTGCCCCTGAATGAAGCCACACATTTGCTGGGTTGTCCTGGCCTCTCAGCCCCCTTTGTGCTAGTGTGGACCCAGCCTGGCGCTCGGATGGCTGAAGGAGGCCACCAGCAGGCCGCGGGCCCTGCAAGTGGATGCCAGTGTCAGCGTCTCATTTAAATAATGGTAGTACAGGGAATAGCTTTTAAATGGTTATCGTAAAACATATGATTAACGTCTGTGGACTGTTTACTTTTCCTTTGCGAACATTCTTTCAAGTCTGCGAATGGCTCGGTGTAGGGTCCAAGCCCAGCTGATCCTGTTTGGTTTTTGTAATAGAGAGAAAGCAACGGCTGCGTGAAAATGTCACCCAGGGAGACTTAATTTACAGATTAAAAGCCTCCTGAATGAATTTTTAAAAAATGAAATAGTTTTCATCCACAAACACGCAGCTCGTTCCCTTCAGTACTGTTTTAATTCTGTGGTTTTGTGCATTCTGCTTCCCGCATCAACTGCGTGGATCATTTCCTCTTTGTCAAAATTGCTCCCAGCACTCTTGCTTTCCAAGAGTCGACTGCAGGATGTGCTCCTGTGGAATTAGGAGGTGTGCGGTGGTGCATGCCTTCAGAATTCACTCGTGTGTGCGCCTGGTGAAGGCTCTTGCCCCTGTGATAATTGGGGTACCCCGTCAGCAGATGGGGCTGATTCCCACAGGTGGCTCTGTCCTCTAGTGAAAGAGACTCCAGCACTGAGTATACCGGTCCTCCACATCTCCTGTCTGTTCAGTTCTGACTCTGCCTTGGATAAGATGTCAAGTGGCATTTGGGCAGTTTCTCCAGCTCATCTTCTAAGTGGAGGTGGAGACATTTAGAAGAGTTGCCTTGAGAGAAGGAAATGGTAACCTTTCAAAGGCACACAGCTCAAAAAGTGTGTTAGAAACCAGAGGAGTAACTCTGCTGCAGGTAAGTCATTAGAATGAAAAGGGGCAAAGCGACAAGTTGCTTAGGGAAAGGGAATTCGTATCACCAGACTTGATCACCTACTGTGAGCCAAGTCCTTTAAATGTTGTGTTCTTTTCTTTTTAAACTTCAAATGATCACACCAATCACATAAGGCAGAAGTACCAAAGATGGTATGTTCTGAGACTGTCCAAGTCTACCCAGTGTACCAATCTGTCTAGAATGAGATAAACTAATTTTTCAAACTAAGGCTGAAAGGAAATGAGATGAAACCTGCTAACAGTTATTGCATTCATAATCCAGAAGGAACGTCATGCTAAGATTCCAGAAGAGATGTCTCTCTTCCATTTTTCCTCATTCTTACCCCCCAGCACTTGCTCCTTTGCTTCTCTCCCTCCTTTGACCTAAAATGCTGCTTCTTCTCTCAGGAATCCCACGGCCTCCACACCCTCCGGATATATCTCCGTATTACCCACTGTCGCCTGGCACCGTAGGACAAATCCCCCATCCGCTAGGATGGTTAGTACCACAGTAAGGAGTTCCATTTTTTAATTTTCTTTTTGTTGTTATATGGCATGCTTATTATTTACTGTGTGTGTGTGTGTGTGTGTGTGTGTGTGTGTGTGTGTGCGAGTGTGTGCACGTGCGTGCGTGCGTGTTAGGAGACAGGGCTGGGGGTGGGTGGTGGGAGGGCATGGTGGGCGGCTGCTGAGATGTCCCGGAGGAATGCAGGCAGATCAGCATCCACTCAATGCAGTGTATAGGAAAAAGGTTATTGATACTTAGCATTCTGAACCCATGGTCCCCAAAGGCTCTGTGGACAGAAGTGCCCTAAGTATACTTTGGGAATTGCAGAAGGCTCCTGGAGCTCCTACCTCGTGAAGCTGATCACAGCTCTTCTGCGAATGACAACCCAAACTGGAGTTGTGTCATTGTGTTGAGTCCTTCCTTTCTGGTGCTGCATATGTGGGGGCAATGGATTGGGAACAGACACAACCTGTGTTTGGATCCAGGGGCGGGAATGGGGATTATTCTCTTACAACCCCAGTACCCCCGACCATCACCCCCAAGGTTGACAATAACAGTGGAAAGTTTCGACTGTTGCAGAAACTCCATGTTATTTAACCAGCATCTCTCTGAGATTGCTTGCACGTTGATTGCTTTCCCCAACTATGAAGGGTGGGATGGGGCAGCTGGTACCCCTCACTCTAGCATGTGGGGCCTTCCTGAGTGTCAGCCCTAGTCCCTGGCAGTGCCCGTGTAATTTGACTGCCTTTTACAAATTTAAAAAAATGTGTGTTTTAAAACCAGAGTAGAAAGGCCTTTAATGTGTAAGCATAAGGGTGTGTGTGTGTGTGTGTGTGTGTGTGTGTGTGTGTGTGTGTGTGTACGTACTTGTGCATGAGCACGCATGTAATGTGTGTTTTGTGATTGTATATTTCTGTGTATATATTCCTCCATGTTTACCAGTGATCTCTACTCTTTAGAAAACACAGAACAGTGTTTTGAATGTTAAATGAAATAAATCCTGCAGAAACTCTCAAGTTTAGGCCTTTCATAGTATTAAAGAAGATAGAATTTTGGAATAGCTCACACCCAATTCTACCCTTATTTCTCTAGTTGAACAGGTTCTATGCTGTTTTTTAAAAAGCAGATTGTGTTCTATAGTAGCTATTCCAAATACCAACTTTGGGTGTAGTTTGTTTCTTTGTCTTCTCCTTATTTTTGTTTGGGAGGGTGAATAAGACATGAGCTTGTATCCCATTTCTTCTTAAATAGATGGAGCCGTTCCTCCAATAGTTCTCCATCATTTGCCCCATTCAGATGATGGGGAGATATTTGAAGTCTAGATAAAAAGGAATAGCCAACTCAGACAACCCTCTGTCAGAAAAAGTTGTGTGTCTTTCATGAGGATGCTATTTTGCATGTTGCTGTATTTTTTAATTATTGTAATGAGGTGTGATTGTCTATTGGTTACCCACAATTCTTCTTGGGGACTCTCCCCCCCGGTAACTCTTGTCAACACTTGTTAATTTGACAAAAGGCTACAAATTAAGCTCTGTTAATTTAATGTTTTCTCACCGAGATCTAAATACCGAAAGAGGCCCAAAGCGCAACTGAAGTCCTTTGATTCACTGTACTTTATTTTGGTATAAATTTACATTCATTATTGTTTTCCTTTGGATGTGTAGCCCTCAATTAGTGTGATGGCTCCATTAAAGCAAGCGAGACTTCGCCTTTAATTATTACAACAAAACACCTAGTTTCAGCTTGGGGAGAGGGTCTCTATTGACATAAGCAGAGGTTATAAAATTTAATTAGCCATTCCTATCAGATTTATGGCATTCAAATTGTTCTGTGTTTCTTCCCTTTGATCCTTCCTGTACAATCCCCAAGATTTTTGTTCTGATCAAATGAGAATAAAGCTTACTTTGCAGTGAGAACTTTTCCCTTTTCCTCTTTTTCTTGTCCCCACCCCCACCCTCATTTTGAGTCTCTCACTTTGTACCCCTTCTTTGTAGGCAGGGTCAACCGGTGTACCCAATCACAACAGGAGGATTCAGACACCCTTACCCCACAGCTCTGACTGTCAACGCTTCCATGTCCAGGTGAGTTCCAAGAATCAGGGCCTTCAATCAAGGCCATGGGTGACTTCTCAGAAAGTTCTCTAGGTGGCTACCAGGCCACCCGGGGGACTGCAGTTACGTGTAATTCTAATAGTGTGGAGCTGATGTGGCATTAGGCTTTATTCCTAGTAAAAGTGAAAAATTGTCCTGAACTTCCAAGGTAAGTGATGTCTTCCTAGGTCAAATTTTCAAGTCAGTCAGTTGAGCAGTATACCTAAGAAATTAAGGAGGCAGGAGGAAGCAGTTAGGACATGAGAGGTTTTGAAGGTGTCATGTCTCTGTTGTCCTATACTGAGTAAGAAAAAAGGGGGTGAAGGTAATTTTATTTTTATACAAAGAGTGTGGGAGAAGATTATTGGTCTTTTCAAAGTTCAAACTGATTCAGAGTCAGCAAGAAAGCACCCTCTTCCCCCTCTAAAGTAGCAATGTCCAGTAGAAATATAATGTGAACCACATAGGGAATGTTAAATTTTCTAGTAGCCACATTTTAAAAAAGGTTTTTTTAAAAAAGGTGAAATTATTATTAGTGATGTATTTTATTCAACCCTACATAGCCAAAATATCATTTCACCATGGTATGTATCACTGTACAACAACTATTAATGAGATTTTACGTTCTTTTTCAAAGTACATGGTTTTTGCAGTGTGTTGTGTGTCTTACACTTAACAGCATATCTCAGTTTGTACTAGCCACATTTCAAGTGCTCAGTAGCCACATATGGCTGGTGGCTACCATACTGGCCTGTGCAACTGTAAATCTTTAAAAGTTTAAAAAAAAATTGTGTATAAATTTATATATATTTATATTTAAGCATATATACAACATACGCACATATCCTCATGTTTTCCTTTTCCTTCCTCTAATTAATTCTGGCTAATTTTTCAGTGACTGCTAGTTTATTTACAAACTGGTTGGCAGCAGTATGTTTAAGTAGTCACTAATTGCCCCTAATGATAGTTTTATTTTCTGTTCATCTGATTTTCAGTCAAGTTAATTAAATCGGTGGAGGTTTAGACTTTCCTGATGGGCTGAAACAACTAATCCATTCTGATGATGGCACATAATTAAATTAGCATGCATTACATGGCAAGGATGCTGTCCCCAGCCTGTTCTCCCCATCTCTGTGGCGAACATGGGCAGCCAAGACCAGAGAAAGGGTTGGAGAGACAGGCCAAGATGCTTCTTTTCTTACTTACAAAATAGTGATTTTGGTGGGGAGAGAGTAAGAATCACATTCATTAAGGAAAACAGACTGTAGCAAATCTAGCATTTATAATTATGCCATGATATCATATAATCATAAAGATCCACATCTCACATGTGATATGTCATCTAAATTTCAAAATCCACACCCAGATTAGTTAGGCTGGAAAATGCTTGTGTGTTCTTTGGTCTATTGAGAAGAGGAAGGTTACATTCATTAAATAACGTCATCACAACCTTGCAAAGCATGGGAACGAAGATGGAATCTCCCAGGAGGAGAGCTACTTCTGAATAGCTCGTAATCCACAGCGCACCCTCCCTCTGTCCTAGCATTTACATATTGCACCTGATCATTTTTTGTGTTTGTTTATTCGCTGCATTCCAGAGGTTAAAAGCGGTGAAGTAATTGTAGGACAGGGATTGGGGTTAAGCTTATCGATTGAATTATCATTAGGAGGTTAGTCGATGATTTATAGGTGGGCAGTGGGGTGGGGGAAAGGAAGTGAACGGTGGGAAGAAAGGTTAGGGGCGCGGTGCAGGGAGAGGCGGCCGATTCCCCAGGTAGACCGTATGAAAGGTAGCTAGTTAAAAAGCGTATACAGCAAATTAAATACATTATTGTGGTAATGGGGCGACAGAAGTATAGGTCTATTATACTTATGGCAGTTATAGCAAATGTAGGCAGCTTGCCCTGTTCCAGAACAGCCTTTGATATTCATTCTATTCAGCAGCGGGGCCAGGACTTCTCAGAATTAAGTGATGGGTCATTATACTTTAAACACCATGGAGAAGCCTAGATTGGCAATTAAACAGCTCTTGCTGACACTCACTTGTGCCACCCTGTGACCCCCTTTAGATTGAGATGTTGGAGCTCCGGGCCCTCAGCCTGCTAAATTGGTGCAAGGCTCTTCTCCTGACGAGAGCGGGCTCTGAAATCTGCCGGCTTCAAAGGGAGCGAGATCATGTATAAACCATAATGTGGGTGCACCGTGGCTCACAAAAAATAAGGCAGGAAGAGATGAAATGTTACAAGTGCAAGGGGGAAAATGAGAGAATAATGACAAACCTAATGCAACTCAAAGCAGGATTGTTGCACAGGAAAATGCATCCTACTGCTTGTGCATAAAATCAAGGCCGGCAGATGACATCCAGTTAACAGAAACGTGTCAACAGTGAAGTAAAGTGAGAGTGAGTAAGAGAGAAGCCCCTGAGACAGCCAGAAACAAAAATTAGTTGTCCTTAACAAGTTAAGGTTCATCATTATATTCTGGCTTGGAGCCATGAAAGCAGACGGGGGTATATAATGAGCTGCTTAGAATTTTTAGGGTGTTTATTGCATTTCGTGAAATAGTTGTCTGCAGAAAGGAATTTCTTAAGCGGCATACGGCCCGCATGCGTGTCACATGCGGCCTCTTTCTCTGCGTTTTCTGATATGGGAGTGTGTGTAGGTATGAGCATACGGCCCTCATGCGTGTCACATGCGGCCTCTTTCTCTGCGTTTTCTGATATGGGAGTGTGTGTAGGTATGGGGACTCAGCGCTGTGCATGCTTCACGGCTGCACTGGCCGCTTTCCCCACCCCAAAATGTACTCAGTTGTGCTGTCTTCCTGTGGTATTTGGTATATGTTCACACATGTACACACACACAGTGACAGAGTGTTTTTGTCCCCCCCCCCCCCCCCCCCCCCCCCCCCCAAGTATGTCAGTGCACATATTCTCATTCTGCAGGAAAGGAGCATATGTATTTGAGGAATGTCAAGCCTTTAAAATTCATAGTAAAAGCTGCCACTCCCACCACTTCACCCAAGGGCTTGCAGGAACACGTGTTCTTAACTTATGTTTCCTCTGAGGCCTTGGAGCAGTGGGAAGGAACAGGGTGCAGCTTGGGAGCCCGGATGCCTCTCAAGAGTGTGCATGTCTCCTTTTTCAGTTTTTTGATGGGAAGAGAAAGGGGATGGAGGGTCTCTCTCTCTCTCTCTCTCTCTCTCTCTCTCTCTGTCTCCCTCCCCCGTCTCTCTCTCTCTCTCTGTCTCCCTCCCCCGTCTCTCTCTCTCTCTCCCCGTCCCCCTCCCTCCCCTTCCTCCTTCCCTCCCTCTTTCCCTCTCCCTCCTTCTCTCCCTGTCTCTCTCTCTCCCACTTTCCCTCTCTCCCTCTATCTCTTTGACACCCTAAAAGGACTTGCATGATTCTTTTTAAAAAATCATGTTGTTGTTACCAAACTTCAGCACTGGCTTAAATTTGTAAAGGCAGTGGCAAGAGAGGGCTAATCAGGGTAGAGTTTCCAAATCAAATGTTTACTATGGCTCTGGGCCCCCTTCAAAAATCGGCATTAAAACCAGATAATTTTTTTCCTATTGATCTAGGTAGATTCAGTTAGTACTTTAATTTTTTATCATGTTTTAAATTAACATTTGCTATATTATTTTGGCTAAATGGAAACTATCTCCAACACACATGTGGGAAGAACCTTGTAAATAAATACAGGATTCTTTTGAAATAACTGTCATGGTAAAACCTCATTGGACCTCTAGTTCACACCGGAGTCAGCTTTCTCAAGAGCAGGTTGTTATTCCCTAGGTGGTATGTTGGACTATTTTGGTTTGGATTTATCAAGAAAGCAACAGTTGCCATGACTCAGGTTCTTCTTCACCGGAGCTCCCCCATCTGCTCACGTGTCACTTTGCTAGCTGGAGCAGGAGGCTGCCATTTTGCTGTCTTTAGGGATTCTGCCTATCTTGTCCCTCACCCTACTTTTCTCCCCAGCAGTGTGACTTTCAGAGGGATGGTTCTAACCCAGCACAAATCACGGTGACTCCAAGCATATCAGCAAATGTAAAAGCTGTTTGTCCAGTCCAGGTGTCAGTTTGCAGAGGAGTAGCTTGAAATTAGCTCTTAATGTCCCGGCTAACGTGCATGGTTGGAAAATGCCAATTCGGGGCCTGAATCATTTAGACGACTTTCCTAAAAATGAATAGTAGTAGAGAGGAAAACACAAACTTTGTCTTTTCTTTATTTACAATTTTGATAATCATTTAGAAGTCTTTTTAACGATGCATAGGTGACATATCAAGTAAAAGTGATTAAGGAATCCTAAATCTTAGAGGAGAAAGAGCATACAAGTCAGAATTCAAAGCTACATTTGCGTTTGTGCTTTTTTTGTGTGTGTCTTTCCACAAAGGGATACGAACTTATTCAGAATGTCCCTGACTTATGATGAGAACCACATAGGAAATATTTGAGTTTTTTCCTTTCTTTCTGCCTCACTCTCTCCCATTCCTGTCAAATGATGGGGCACAGCAACAAAAGAAAAATAAAAATTTTATTGCACTTCATCAACAGAATAAGGCCTAATGAGGCATGCACAGCATTGTCAAAAATGTATGTATGTTTCAGCCACGTTAATATTTTATTTAGCTGTCAATATACAACAAAAGATTTCACCTTTCATTGTAGAGCTGATTAGGACTTAGGAAATTGTCTTCTTAGATGCCACTAGTAATGCCTCAAAAAACAAGTGGACGTGCAATTTCCAGCCGGTAGTCCAACCCACTGTTTTGCCCAAGTACATCAGTTGAATTTGTCTCTTGCTAAAGATGTTAAAAATCATAATGTCTCATGTCAATAGCAATAATGAAGGGGAAGATTGGCTTTAATGACATTATGAGAATCATTATGTTTAATTTATCGCTAATTAATGCTGACAGGTTTCATATGCCCTGGGTTGCTTTCATGTGAGTGTTACATATGGGGTTTTTTCTCTTTTTTTCTTTTTAATTGTGTGTACTCATCCCTCCTCATTCATTCATTTTGATTCTGACGATTTACACAGCTTTCTGTCTTCTAGGTTCCCTCCCCACATGGTCCCACCACATCATACTCTACACACGACTGGCATCCCCCATCCGGCTATAGTCACACCAACAGTCAAACAGGAATCCTCCCAGAGTGACGTCGGCTCACTCCATAGCTCGTAAGTGTTGCTCTTTTTATGGCTTTCTTTGTAGCCATAGTGTTGAGCAAGTCCGGGGCTGTGCGGTGGCAGCTCTGCGGAGGGCAGGCATTCCTTGGTTTGCTTCCAGCAGACACCCGGCCTTTGTGGGCTCTGGGCTCCCTTATAAAGAGGAGAAAAATGCACAGTGGCGGAGTTTCACTGATTGCACCCACTGCGGTTAGAACACAGCCCTTTTGTGTGTGTGTGTGTGTACTTGGATGGACTGCGATTTGTAACCACTTCCCTGTCCCCTAACCCGTAAGTGAACATTTGGGGCTCTGTTTTGCAAGCACGAGAAAACCCTGCCTTGGGAGAGACAGCAACAATGTGCTTTCCCCCCGGCTTGGGAAAATGGTGTATTTGTGAAACTCGAGGAAGTGGTTACAAAATCTCTCTTTTCTCCCACCCCCTCCCCAGGTTATTTTTGTTCCATTTTCTGGGGTGGGGAAGACTAAAAGTGGAAGCATGCTTTTTATTCAAAAGTGCTAGGCTTGAGTGTGAAGGAGATGGGCCCTCGGCTTTGGAGGCAGTTGGACCATGTGATTGTTTATTGGCTTATGTCTGTCGGTTTTGTCTCTATCCAGAAAGCATCAGGACTCCAAAAAGGAAGAAGAAAAGAAGAAGCCCCACATAAAGAAACCTCTTAACGCATTCATGTTGTATATGAAGGAAATGAGAGCGAAGGTCGTAGCTGAGTGCACATTGAAAGAAAGCGCAGCCATCAACCAGATCCTCGGGCGCAGGGTAGGTGACCCTTCCCAAGCAGACGAGGTGGAAGGGTGGATTTGGATGCAGAAGTGTCCCTGTCCTAATTTCTTTGGAGAATCCTTTCTCTTTAGCCACATTCTGAATCCTCAAATGGCCTCCATTGAGTCAGGGCCAGTAATTCCACATCCAGAGGACACTGAGAACAGCCACACCTGTAGTCTTCCCCCACCCCTGGACAGACAGGAAAGGATAGAATGACACAGATGACAAATCATGTTTTGCCTGAGCACTCCCGTCAATGCCAGGACTCAGCAAACTGTCAGTGTCTGCAGATTATACCGTTTCTGGTTGGGCTCACCTGAAAAAGCAGCCTCATTCACTCCCTGGCCGTGGTATAGTTTGTGATGTTTTTGTGTGTGTCTCCCTCTCACCCCCTGTCCCCTCCAGTGGCATGCACTGTCCAGAGAAGAGCAAGCGAAATATTACGAGCTGGCCCGGAAGGAGCGACAGCTTCACATGCAGCTGTACCCCGGCTGGTCCGCGCGGGATAACTATGTAGGTGGATCATTTTCCTTCCGACTAGAGTCTGTAGGGATGTACCATCTGTCCATATTGACAGAGACCCGTAACTGCCAACTTGAGTCAGGCCTCAGGACCATTCAGTCTGCCCACTTCTGGGACCATTAGCATCTTGTTTGGTCTCCATACTGGGGGGTCTTGTCTTGGCTTCCAGTCTGGCTCAATCAGCATGTAGTAATTCTTCAGGGAGGAGGGAGTAAACTGAGGCTCCAGGGTTCCAGCTTGGGACCATGAATGAGATTGATTTGGGCTGTCCACACCTGTTTTCCCCTTTCTTAGAAGAGGTGGGGCTCTAGGATACACCCAAAGGAGCTTAAGTAGTTTAAATTTTGGGTTAGGTGTCCCGTGCTCCTCAGCAGCGATCAGTGGTGTGGTCTTTTGGGGAAGACCAGCAGGTAGGGGTGGAGGGGGAGAGTTTAATTCCTCATAGGTATTCCAGCAGGGCCTTTACCCTTAAGAAGGAAAAACAAAACAATAGCCTTATGCCATGGCACAGTAGCAGTGGGAAGTCTGCTTCATCCTGAGAGGGGCATGATGGGGTATCCCTGAAAGTAGTTGGAAGTCATCTTTTGGCAGGATGGATTCAGTGAGTCTGGGCCCAGCGGGGGTAGGGTAGGTAAAGGTGTGTGTCGTGCGATGTGTATGTTCTGGGGCTCAGTGCTGGCTGCAGGATGTGCCTAATTTCCTCTCTTGGTTTTTAGAAAACACTGTAGGATTATTGTTTTTACCAAATGCAGTGGTTATGACACTCAGGATTTCTCTCCTGCCATCAACTCCCTTGTCTTTTGGAGACTTCTGTCCCTTCTCACCGTTATCTCTGATCCTGCATTTTGCCCAGTAGCTCAAGTTCTGGACTCTCTTTCCTCTCTAGATGAAGGAAATACTTCTTCATTTGCCTGATACTTTATTACATGGCGTTTGGTTTCATGAAATGATTTTACCGTCCACTCAGGGGGAAAACAAAACCCGCCAATGCCAGCATAGGCTTCTCCTCCCTTCTTGTTGGTGTTACGGAGCCATCAGGGCTCCCTGACATGACGCTCCCATTGGCATCATCGGTGGTGAAGAAGCTCTTTCTGTACGGGGTTAAGATCATTAAATTATTACTGATTGTGAAGTACTGTGCACAAGGTAATATGGGATTCAGATTAAGTTAGATGTTTTGCTCTCTCACCTTGGCGTCCACAGGAGATCACAAATATCCACATGAATATGAGGTCCGTAGTTTCTTCTTGCTCTGACTAGCTATTTCAAGCTTTCTGCCTCTTTATTCTCATACTTTTAAGCATGTGCTTGCTGTGAAGATGGGGACGAAGGGAGAACAGAGACTGTTGGGCTTAACTCCCACGCCCCTGCCCATGTCTCCCTAGTCCCCACCGCCCTTAGTTGGCAGCACTGGACTGTCCTCCCACTGGGAGTTGAAACAGGAAGCAGTGCTAGTACCTCTTGAGTGGCACTTTTTGCTCTGCTGAGAGCCCTTGTCACTGACAGATGGGCAGCACAAGGTCTTACCTGCTTGGGACCTTTCCATTTGTCCTCAGCGTGAGTGCGGTGGGGAAGCCTTTCTTCTGGAGCTGAAAGGGAGAGGATGAGAAAGTTAATGCTCTCCCACAGGCTTGCTGCTCACCCCCACCTGACCCCGAGGTGGAGCTTTCCAGCAGCAGGCAGGCTCCACAGCCTCCTCACAGGCAGCCACATCATTTCAGGACAGCTGCTCTCCTCATTTCAGGTCAGAGGTTCTTAGAGTTCATCTCCAGCTTCTACCTGCTACAGACCCAATTCTCTGAGTAATCCAGAATGGTGCCACAGAGAGGATTCAGTTTCTTGGTAGACGTCCTATCCCCAGTAAGCATTTGGGGTCATGCGTAGTAGGGCGGGCTATGCATGTACAGCTGTGTAGGGAGTGCACTGCTCAACTCTAGGTTGTGCCATTTACACAGTGTGTCTGTGCAAATGGTGTTCCTTTTCCCTGGAGTTGTGCAGGGTGAAATCTCCAGAAAGATGCAAAGCAGACTTTGTGATAGCTACATGACTTACCTAGGAGTCATTTAGACACAGTATCGCCCAAGGCTTTTTGTGAAGTGCTTTCTAGGTTTTGGAAGGTCCATGAGGCACTTGAAATGACTTTGGCTCAGTTTTACATTCAGAAGATGGTTTGGTATAATGGGAACCCCTGAGAACACTCGAGAGAAAGTTTAGAGGTAGGTCTGGATTTAGGGCTACAGGAACTTTATCTCTGCTAAGGGGTACGTTATGGTTGCTCATTACACGTGAGTGTGAGCATACACACTCTCACTCCTTCCTTTTGTGACCAAGGAAAAGTCTGGAGGCAAAAATCATAGCATTGAAGCTTTTATGGGTTTAACTCTGGTGGAAATTTGTTACTGTTTCTTTTTAACTAACTTGACATAGGAGTTTCTATAAATTACTTTGGTGATTGTAAAGTCCAAAAGGTTCTTCTGGAAAATGTTTTCTGAGCTACCCTCATGTCTCTTTGACATTCCTGCTCTTCCAGCCAGTGGTGACAGCAGCCTTTATGTTGCTACCTCAGGAAAGTAGAGTTGAGTAAAACAGTCACATTTGGGTTGTCAGACTTGGACATTCCACAGAGCACAGGAGAAAATATTTGGGGTACCGTAGTAATATCTAGCCCCTGGCGTTGTATTAGAGCTTTATTTCCTTTCTAAGTCTTCCTTGTTAAGTAGAGATAAATCCTGTGCTATTTGCTCACCTGAGCTGGTTTTTCCTCACCCCTATATTAGGCCCTTTCTTTCTCTTGTCACTTTTAAAGGGGTAATGGGGTGGCCATCTCCATTGAGACGTGTCTTCCTCTTCAGTAAGTCGTGTTTATAAACTTCATTCATATCCTCTTCCTATTAAAACACAGTCCCTGTCCTTCCTCAGTCGTGAGTGTCTTGGTTATAGATCCTAAAATGACAGCTTCGCATGGGTAGAGGAATTTTCAAGTGCCTTCAGAATATATTGCAAGGAATTAGAAGTGGACAGAGGATGACTGAGAAGCCCTTGGGTACGAGGATGCCGACACCCCTCGAAGGTGAAATGTTTCTGTGCTGAATTTTTACTTCAGGCTCCTAAATCAACTGAAACTGGACCCTCCTATCTGTTCAGAGACAGCCTGGTGGCACTTTGCTCCTTACATGGGGAGGTTCAAGAGGGAAGGGAGGGCACACAGGCTCATGAGACTTGGACCTTGGAAGAAGGCACATGAACTCCTTAAAAAAAAAAAAATGTATACCAGGGAACATAGCATGTTTAAACAGAAGTGCTGGACCCTAAAGGCTGAAATGAATTTCCCAAGTGGCACTGGCATCTTGATCTGTGAAAAAAGGGGCCTTCTCTAAACAGGTGGTTCTCGGCCCTTAGATGGAACCGGAGCTCTGGTCTCTTCACTTGGAGGGTCCCCTTGTACAGCCTAACACACTCTCAAGTTTTCTACCTGTCATTGCCCTTTTCTCTTTATTGACATCAATGTACCGTGAGAACCTTTAAGCAAAGGTAATATTTAGATATCTGAAACACACAGAAGTGTAAGATCATTCCGTCTTTATTTATCCCAAGCAGCTAACTCACGTGGATAGGGCTGACACTGATGAGGTGACAAGGAACCGGTTTCAGACTTGGAGTGAGGCAGTTGCCTGTACAGAATTCCTCCCTAGTCCCATTCCACAGCCACGATCATGAGTAGACTGTCAGGATGGCAAGGAGGATCA